GAGTTGCTGTTGTTCCCAAACTCTTCCATTTTGTTATGATAAAGCTGACAGTTGACTGTGGAATATTTAGGAGCGAGGAAATTTCACGACTGGATTTGTTGCACAGGTGGCATCCTATGACAGTTCCACGCTGGAATTCACTGAGCTCCTGAGAGCGGCCCATTCTTTCACAAATGTTTGTAAAAACAGTCTGCATGCTAATCATGCTAAGTGCTTGATTTTATACACCTGTGGCCAGGCCAAGTGATTAGGACACCTGATTCTGATCATTTGGATGGGTGACCGAATACTTTTGGTAATATAGTGTAGCTTCAAAGAGTGACATTAACCTTGGTGTCTGCTTTAACTATGGGAAAAGTGGCTACTCAACTCCTTTTTTGATTTACTGGTTGACTAATAAAAACTTATAGTCACACAACCACTAATACAGGTGTAAATACCCTCAAACTAAAGCTGAAATTCTGTATATTAACATCATATTTATTGTTTCACTTCACATGCAAAATGCCGGACTACTGATCTGAAAAAATGTCATCCCACAATTATTTATTTATGTCCTACACTGTTCTCTAAGGGCAGCACATCAAAAAGTTGTTGTTTGCTGATTGGCCTAAGGCAGGAGACACAAAGACACACCCAAATGGAAAATATGAATCCACAATGAGTCAGTAAATTACACAAACTTTTACCTGTGTCCAAAAGTATAGTATACTATGCATATATGACAGATAATTGTTTTATTCCCAGCCAGATAACTCACTTAACTCACACTACTCAAGTTTGCAGTTAATTAAGAAACTCTTTCACAAGTAAAGTGAGTCACCGTTTGTGCGTCTGTGTGTGCAGGTTTCACCCCTGAGATCTTTGATAAGCACTCCCGCTACTTACGGTATGAAGACATTAAATCATGCTGTATCTTTATAAACACCCACAACTGCTGCAAACCATCCGAAACAGATTTCTTTTTTAGTTTGTGTATTCAATCAACAGAGAGAAAGCTATGGGGAAAGCTAAACAAGCATGCACACACACACGCACGCACACACACACACACACACACACACACACACACACACAAGCACCCTCAGTGGGCATACGGCTGAGTGTAATCATCTGATCCCAATGGTGAGACATTAGACCATGCATCCTGTGCAAAGCAATGTTAAATTCATAGAGACTTTTAATAAGAGCTTTTAGTGCAAAATGATGACAAAAATAACTGGTTTGGTGAACCTAAAAGTGACCACATCAGAAAAAAAAACTGCCTAAGTAATAATTTCTAACAAGTCAGTATAATGGAGGGCTACAGCACAACAAGCACTCTGGTCTGTTTAGGAGCTAAAGTAGTATTCAGTGCTCAGATACAATATGGTCTAATGCAGCAAAACATGCATAAAGAGCTCTCCATCACTTACAGAACACAGCCAAAAAGCTCAAAAGAAAAATTCAATAAAAACAAATAATTTAGGGACTTAATGGATAAGTATTACAATGGCACAGCTAATCTTTGTCCAACCAAATTAACTAATGTACATGTAATGAGCCTCAACATTCAGGATGGAGAACAGCACTGCAAAAAGATGGAAAAGCTGTAAAAGAAGGTGTACTATTTAACCACCGTGTTCTAACTCTGTACTTTTGCGCTCTTAATGGTAATTAATTATTAATGGCGCTCCAGTCTTAAATATACACCGATCAGTCATAACATTAAAACCACCTGCCTAATACAGTGTAGTTGCCCCTCGTGCCGCCAAAACAGAGCTGACCCGTCAAGGCATGGACTCCACAAGACCTCTGAAGGTGTGCTGTGGTATCTGGCACCAAGATGTTAGCAGCAAACTACAAAGTCCTGTAAGTTGCAAGGTGGGCCTCCATGGGGCCTCCAGACTTGCTTGTGCAGCACATCCCACAGATGCTCGACTGGATTGTGATCTGGGGAATTGGAGGCCAAGTCAACAGAGTGCAGAGTGCATCATCCTGCTGAAAGAGGCCACTGCCATTAGGGAATGCTGTTACCAGGAAGGGGCGTACTTGGTCTGCAACAATGTTTAGGTAGGTGGTACGTGTCAAAGTAACATTGACATGAATGCCAGGGTCCAAGGTTTCCCAGCAGAAACATTGCCCAAAGCATCACACTGCCTCCACCGGCTTGCTTTCTTCCCACAGTGCATCCTAGTGCCATCTTTTCCCCAGGTAAGCAACACACATGCCCATTGTAGGTGCTTTCGTCAGTGGACGGGGCCAGTATGGGCACTCTGACCAGTCTGTGGCTACGCAGCCCCATACACAGCAAACTGCGGTGCACTGTGTGCTCTGACACCTTTCTACCATAGCCAGCATTAACTTTTTCAGCAGTTTCTGCTACAGTAGTTCTGTGGGATCAGACCAGACGGGCTAGCCTTCGCTCCCCAAGTGCATCAGTGATCCTTAGGCGCCCATGACCCTGGTGCTGGTTCACCAGTTGTCCTTGGACCCCTTTTGGTAGGCATTAACCACTGCATACTGGGAACGCCCCACAAGACCTGTCGTTTCGAAGATGCTCTGACCCAGTCATCTAGCCATCACAATTTGGCCCTTGTCAAAGACGCTCAGATACTTATGCTTACCCATTGTAACAAGATATTCAATGTTATTCACGTCACCTCACGGACTTAATGTTATGGCTGATCCGTGTATATACATCTCTATTAATAATAGGTATTATATTGTTATTACTTGGGCCATATCTTGCAGTGCCTTTTGAATCTCAAGGGTTTCTAAAAACTTGTTAATGCCTTTATAGTGCAGGCATTTTGTGTTTACTGCACTGTTAAAAAGTACAGGGTGGAGCCTAACAGGGTGGAAATACAGAAGCAGGATTATCTACAATAGCAAAATTAGTCGTCGTGGTAGAACAATGGTTAACCTTCAAAGTATTAACCACATAATAATAATAAATAATAATAATAATAATAAAATTTCAAACTTCAGTATATATACTTCATATGTACATTTTACCCCTCATATCTATCTATCTATCTTTCTCTCTCTCCCTCTCTCTCTCTCTATATATATATATATATATATATATATATATATATACATAGACTAAATATTACCAAACGCTGGGCATTAATAGCCTCAGTCTAAAAGGTTATATGTTATAGCAATAATATTTGATATTGATATTGACTAATATTTTAGTCAATTCTTGACTAAATTCTAAGTTAGGATTAGGAAAAAACTCATGAGTGCTGGGAAGGGTGCATGAGGCTGCTGTGTTGCAGCATCCATACCATCAAGTGTAAGATAGAACGGCTGGCTCCAGTCACTCCACTCACTCCAGTAGTGAAGGTGATGAAGGCTCTTGCAGCGCACCTGAACCGTATATCTGACTCCAGAAGTGAGCTGACTCAAAGACACCCACGGATGCTGGACATTAAGCACCTAACACAGATAAACACACACATACACACACAATGAAATGCACAACACAGGTTTCAGAATTTAAAATCAGTGTGTGAAATCTTAGAACTAATTTTCTACAAATCAGAAGCATGCAAGTGAATCTGCTTATGTTTTTCTATACCCATCTTATTGAATCTAAAACTAAATGACTGTAACTATATTACTGTAGTTGTTGCTGTTTTACTCACCTCCCAGTGTGTGAGAGAAGTGTTGGGTGAGTAGCGGAGCTCATAGTAAAGTGGGTGTTTATTATTTTGTGAGTCATTCCAGGCGATCATCACCTCACCCTCAGTAGTTACATTATAACGCAGGTAAAATGGTGTGTCTGGCTTCCCTGTGAAGAAAAGTCATTCAGGAAATATTACAAGGAAGAAGAGTCCATCTTTGTGCTCTCTGTGCCTAATTTGAGCAGATGGTAACTTGATACCTACAGTATATCTTACAACTTAGAAACGCACCAGATATTAACACACTCACACTTTATCCAGGTCAACTCTGTATTTCAGACTAACTACTAATTATTATTACTATAACCTCTTATTATATGTCAAGATGATATATCTTTATCTCAAAATTCTGTTGTGTCAGAGGAAATTTCTTCTTGAATGACTGTATGCTTTCATTTAGCTGCTGGATGCAATTTCCATGCTCATATAAGTTCTTTATCCCATGTCCTGCATTTATGCCAAGTTTATGAAAATCCCACTCCCTAGTTGGATCCCACAATATCAATGGCATTAATAACCAAAACAGCAGAGCTTGGTATCATTGCTACAAAGTGATTTGCTTAGAGAATCAATGGGTCTACATTAATTGCTGTTGTTCTTCTTTTGACTGCTCCCATTAGGGGTCACCACAGTGGATCATTGGTCTGCATATTTGATTTGGCACTTTTATCCGGGCTTAGGACTGGTCCTGGGAGTGCACTGTCATATGCAACCCCAGTGGCTGGGGCTGGTTCCATGGCCAGGAATTGAACCAGGGCTGTGGCAATGAAAGCAACGAGGCCTAACCATTAGTCCTCCAGGGACCCAAATGTGTCTAAATTCATTCATTTTGTTAAAAAAAAAAAAAAAAAAAAACAGGCAGGGACTCATAGTAAAGAAATTCAAGAAATAATATAACGCACAAGTTCAAATGCACTCAGTTTTTTGGTATCTACAAAGCTAATATGGGTGCACAGCTGCTTTTACAGTGGTCATCTCAGATCAGTTTAATTCTGCATACTGCTAGGCTTTTACAGGCTTCAGACCATCACATGTGGTTTTACTGTAAATCACCTCTCATCCATCTCATCAGTCACCCTTAGTTAATCTACACCGCAGGAAACTGTTTTAGTGGAAAATGCCCTTCTGTACATTTGTCATCAGGCTGCAATGTAAAGAGCATTGATTTGAGCACACACCCCTTGCATTAAAAATGCTTTTCCTATCAGTAGAAATCTACCTGGTTATCATGGTTTCTCTAAAGCATCCCTAAATGCCTCAAGTACCTCAAATCTGCCAAAGTAAGCTCATCATGTCTGAGAAGTTGTTTCCTCAAAACCATTAAAAAGTGATTGCAAGCGCACAAACAACATTTTCTCTCAACAATTTAATTATTCAGATTTCGAGATAAATGTCAATATGTCCTGTTGTTGTCTCAAAATGCCTTAGTGCAGCTTTAGTAAAAGATGCTGTGGGTCTTTATACTGTGTGTAATATAAATTAGTGAATCTAGCCATGGGGGTCACAGTGCAGTGACTTCTGTGCCGGTCCCAAGCCCGGATAAATAGAGAGGGTTGCGTCAGGAAGGGCAACCGGTGTAAAACATTGCCAAATTTAATCATGCGAATCGTCATACCCTGAATTTCATATCGGATCGGTCGAGGCCCGGGTTAACAACGACCACCATCGGCGCCGGTGACCTACAGGGCGCCGGTGGAAATTGGGCTAGTGGTGGTCGAAGAAGTAGAGGGGGGAGGAGAGGGCATAGACAGAGAGAGAAGAGGAAAGGTAAGAGTGTAGGACTGAGAATAGGAACTCTGAATGTTGGTACTATGACAGGGAAAGGTAGATATGATGGAGAGAAGGAAGGTGGATATACTGTGTGTACAGGAGACCAGGTGGAAGGGTAGCAAGGCTCGTAGTATAGGTGCAGGATTCAAGCTGTTTTATTATGGTGTGGATAGTAAGAGAAATGGGGTAGGTGTGGTCTTGAAAAAGGAGTTTGGGAGGAATGTTCTGGAGGTGAAGAGAGTGTCAGACAGGGTGATGAGTCTGAAGTTAGAGATTGAAGGGGTGATGTTGAATGTTGTTAGTGGTTATGCCCCACAGGTAGGTTGTGAGTTAGAGGAGAAAGAGAGATTCTGGAGTGAATTAGATGAGGTGATAGAG